GTTCCTGGGCTGCATACTGTTCGGGATCTTTCGGGTTTAGACCTTTTCGGCGGCAAAGAAACAGTTCAAGTTCAGGTTTGCTTTGGCCAACCCACTCAGGAAGTGAAACCCTTTGCACTGAAGGTAATCATGATGGTGCATTACATTGCCACCCACTTTCAAAGTTTCAAGGAGACTCCAGGTGGGTGTGTGGGTGTTTTTTGTCCGCAGCCAGTGTTTTTTTTGGTTTTTGTTTTTTTTCCCCGCAGCCAGGCCGCCACTTGCTCGAGAGCAAAAACCAAGGCGCCACCGGAAGCTTCGGAAGGCGGGTTCGGGGCTTTGGGCTTTGAGCTTTGGGTTGCTGAGTGTGGACTCCCCATAGGGATCCGAATTTCTTTTAAGAAAGCCATCAGAACCGAATTCAGGGGACACAGCGATCGGTTTTTGAAAAGAATGATGGTGAAAAGGAACGGGGAATCAACCCCTAGAAGTGTTGCCTGATTTGGTTCTTGCTCGATGGTTGATACTGTAGATGGACGAAATCCGTTCGCACCGCTTTGAACCACGGGAAACCAGTGTTTGTTGGTATTTACTGGGGAATCTGCATTCCAGATTTTTTTGGTAGCGCAGGATTTCGTCCATCCACAGTACTTCTTATGCTTCATGTGTAATTATTTCTTTGGTTTTGGTTCCCTTTGTCCTTCCATCTGTTTCTTTGTGTGTTTGTGTCTTTGATTGTTTGTTTTTGTTTGTTTGTTTGTTTGTTTGTTTGTTGGCTGTGTGTGTTTAGCGTGGTTTGTATTTGCTGTACCCTCCCACCAATCAACATGGAAACTGACAGGGAGCCCCTTTGAAAGGAAAATGGTCTTCAAGGACCCCGCAAACGTCAGGTTCCATGTTTAATTGGTGGGAGGGTATTGAGTTGTTTAGTGACTGGATGAACACCAGCACATCATTGCGCGGACTTTTAAAACACTTTCGATCCTTTGACTCCGCAACAGCTTCGAGACCCCCACAACCTGGATGTTTCCCATGTGGATTCGCTTCTGGGATGTGCTTCAAGGGAAAGATAACGCAAGGCAACTAATTTGGTGGTCTGTTGGAAACACCCAAAGCACTCCGGCGAACAGGTGGTTACATTTATGTGAGCAGAAGTTTTCCGAGTGGGTTAGGTTCGCAGGCAACAAAGCCAGAGATTCTGAACCACAGGTGTTAGTAAAGTTTGGTGAATAGATGGGTTTCACTAGAGTGGTCTTATTCCATGGGCCAGCATGGTCACCTTAGGAGAATCTGGAGGCGTTGTGGATGTTTGTTTTTCTTCCTCTTTTCCCGCGCCAAAGCAGCTCAGATGTCCAAGCACACAACCACTGCGAACCCCTGCCTTTGCATGCCTTGTCCCTCCCTTTTCGGGTCAATTTGAACATTACAACAATGGTTCCATCTTTTGGCTGGCACATGGAGCGTCTCCGTCTCAGAGCTGGCGTTTTGGAGACCCTATCAGGTGTTTCAGTTTTGAGTGGTTGCTAGGAGGTAGGCTTTTCTCACGGTTAGCCATCATGTACCCAGTGTGTATCTTCATTGCAGGGTTCACTAGTGTCCACTCAATTCTTTTGACATGCCGATTCCCGGTACACTTGACATGATCTTTCACAACCAGGATGGAAACAGCATAGGAACCGAGAAACCTGCACATTGCAATGCAATATGACCATATATGACTTAACACATAGATGGTCATTGGTATGTTGGCCTATACTCGCAGCCATTTCTCGGGTTGCAGCCAGTCGCAGCCAGTTCTCAGGTCACTGCGCGAAAGGCCATGGACAAGCTAGCGCCCGTGCTAGGTGGTCTTGGGGGCCTATGGGCTGCGTACAACATCGTGCCGGTGATGTATCGCTGGGAGCTCATCCCAGGAGTGGCATCGGAGGAGTGGCTCACTTCTCCAAAGCACATCGATCTTTGATCTTCCATGTTGGCAAACATATTTATGGCCCCAAAAAGCGATCACCGTTTTTCTTCTTTCTTTTGGGCAACTAAGGTGGTGGGCCAGGGCGAAGACGATCAAGTACGACCACTACTCGGAGGGCATCATTTACTCCCCCTATGACACTGGCGACCCCATCAGGGAGATGCCGGAGCAGTGCAAAGGCAAGATGCTACTGCGCCAGAAGCGCGGCGGCTGGAAGCTTCAGAGCGAGATGGAGGAATAGACGCGGGATCTTCGGAGTTTCAGATATTTGAAGGATCTCAGTGCGTCGTTCACTGACCGATGTTTGATTCCAAAGAATGTGGCCAGAAAAAAGGAATTGCGCGGCTGCGCGCAAATCCTTGCCTGGACTGAAACATGAATATACGCAACTACATTCATGTCTACAATCATGTATGCGTATAGCTACATATTGACTCCACGTTTATACAGGAAGGGTTTCAGTTTTCATGCTATCAATCTCACAGCTCTAACCACTCTTCCCCCAGCTTTTGCTCGGGCGTTGCTTGCCGGGCGTAAAGAGGTTTGAGAGGAGATACAACAGGAGTTTTGTTTTTTGAACGTTCAAACTACTTAGTAGGTCACAACCATACTGCGGATGGACGAAATCCATTTCGCACCACCTAAAAACCATGGGAACGGTAATTACAAGGGAATCATCCTTCCAGGTTGTCATAAATGGTGCGAACGGATTTCGTCCATCCAAAGTACGGATGGAAGCAAGCCCCTGTTATCGAAGTAAAATCCTGATGCGCAGCTCTAAACCGAACGGGACCTGAACCCCTTTGCGTGCAACATCGTGCGTTGGCGGACGTGGCCCCTGTGTTGGCTGAGTCAGCGTTTTCGCATCCGAACCGCTTTCTGGATGGGTGTACCTAGAGTCTCCATGACCCTTCAAAAATGGGTCCATGACCCCGGAATTTTGGGCAATGACCCCATTTCTTAATGGTATGGAGACTCCAGGTAGTGGAATATCGGGCGGTGGCGTTAGTTCCGGGGGGCTGGGGAGTTGAGAGCATTTTCCGGTTTCCCGGGTTCCCGAAACGGGCTCCGCGGGAGTCAGGGCCGTGGAGGTTACAACCCAAGGGTGTGCCCGAAGTCTTCTTCTGACCCATGGCAAACATGGGGTTGGAATCCCCACAAAAAACCAAGGGGTCACCCCTTTTTCTAGGGGTCATGGAGACTCTAGCTTCACAACCACCATGTTCGAGGCGAGCTTATGCCTCTTCTGCATGCCCAATGTGAGCCTTAAGCGCCGGGGGACTCTAGCCAGGTTCTACACGGATCCATTTTCCGGCATAGCAGGTAGCCAAGGGAAGCACCCCTTGAGAAGCAAAAGGAAAATACTGTGGATGGACGAACCGTGGGAAACCATTGTTTCTTGGTATTCACTGGGAACTCATCATTCCAGGGTTTCTCAGGTGCTGCGAACGGATATAAGGGCGAAACGGATTCCTGGGATCCACTGGGCCTCCGTTGCACCGAGCTTGGCGAATCGACCACGCTCGGCGCAGGCCGCTGCGCGGCTCTGGGCGCTGAGTCGCCGAAAGACGCGAAAAAGGAGCGCGAAAACGGGGGGCGGGAGGGGGGGGGTCAGTTGGTCAGTTGAGCGCCCAGGTTTCATATTCTTCCAACACCCAGGGCCCAAGAACTGCTTTTGTCCATCTCCGAAACGCAAAGTACTTTAGCAGTTGCTAGGGGGGTGCTGATTGTGATTGTTGCTGTTTCGATGTAAAACTCTCTTTGGTCACCGAAGACGACTTTATTCGAGCTCGACTTTCACCTTATCCTTTTCACATTATGATTGCGTGCATGGTGTTTACTGATTGAATATGATATTCAACTGTTCAACACTGACCTATATTTGTTTTTTCCGCAAGTGACCTTGTTATTGAGGGGTGATACCCCGAGTGGCCAGCACTAGCGTCCAAGTACCCGCGACGACAAGGCCTTTGATTGTCCTGGGCTCCTAGGGTGTTCTGGGTTGTCTCTGCGGACGGTTTCCCCGTGGCTTTACATTCAGAACAACCCAAAAGACATCACACCTTCTCCATATTGATGGTGTGGTTTTTGAGGATGGGGTGAATCCCCATGATCATTTCGGCCGGATTGATCAAATGCTTCCTTCTACATGGAGTTCCTTGGATGTCTACGTTTTGGACATGCATCACCTGTCAGGCGGTTGAACATCGGGTGGAGTGATATGTGAAGGGGACAAGTATGTGGAGCTTTGGGAATCTTGGACCATCTTGGGAATATTTGTGAGTGCATGTTGCTGGCAATCGCCGTGCATATGTTATCTCTGAAGATCGAGCTTGCACATCTGCACCCATCTTTGTCAAACAAACTGTACCATAAACATGTTTGGCATGCCCACAACTTTGGGGGTCATTGTGACCAATGTTGGTTGTCGCAAGTTGCTCAGGGCGCGGCCGCCCGATTTTCTATGGACGGGTCGTTCGCGCGTTGTTGGGTGGGCCTCTTTCCTGAAGCAAACCGTTTTGGATTTGTCGGTTCCATGGTCCGCCCAAATGCGGCTCAAGCGCTCAAAGTGGGCGATCTTGATATGGGGGGTGTCTTTTTTCAGGTTGGAACCCCAACATGGTGGCTTGCCCTCTTGGTTTCCCTCAAAAACCACCAATCATGGGGTTACGCATGGTTCCTTCAGAAAAATGACAAAGTTCAAAAGAGAAGCTCAAGGACTACAACCTCCGGGTCATTTGTGCTTGGGTCACGCGCTTTGTTCTATAGGCATGCAGGCGAATCATGCTTAGACTATAGGGCTGTCCAAAAGCCTGGAGGGTAACATCCAGGGCATAGACAAGTGGATCCCTGTCGAGTCACTCCTAACTGATTCTTACTCACTGCAGGCAACGCTCCAAGTTTCCGTCTACTTGAGTAGTCCCCGGGTTACCTACCGTGGAACTGGAGTCACTTGGACTATGCATTCTGAGGTCTCTTCCGTAAACGTATTGTATTTGTTAGGGCAGACCAAATATGAATCAGAGTAAGGACTTATGACTTTCTGCGTACCCCAGATGTGGGCCACACTGATGGTTGACTCACTCATGACGCCATGAGACCATGAGCCAGGCGTGTTCGATGCTACTCAGCGAGCGAGCGGTGCGTGTGTGTGTGTGTGTGTGCTCTAAGTGGCAATTCAGGCATTGTGATCGGCTGGAGCCCAAGTCATTTCTAAATAGATCCCTTTGACCGATATGTTCATTTTTGCGGGTCTTTCAGGAACTCTGTTTGGCCCAACCCTCTTCGACTTGCGCTGTTGGGCATTCTTTTGAAGCGCTCCAATGGATCGAAACTTGGCACTGACTCAGACGGTTTCCACTACCCAAAGCGCTACTCCCAGGGCAAAGCGGGGTTCATGACCTTCACTGATAGGTTTTCAGTTGTTGTAGTATATCATATTTCCCTTCGGGGAATTGTGAAACACTCTTGCAGCAATGCAGACACCAAGCACTCTGTATGGGGATGTGCTTGCAGGGCTTCAATTCGCTTGTGACAGTGGCTTCTCGCGCTGAGATACTCGCACCGTTTAACGTTTATATGTTCTGTTCTCGGGTACGAGTGTTTTCAGTCAGCAAGGATGGGAGGCCATGTCTGATTGCATAAGTTGAAACACGTTGAGAGTGTGGGTGAACCAAACGCCTTTGGCCAAACCCAGGTTCCTAGGCCCCCGCATTCCGAGGCTTGGAGGCTTAGATAAGGAGGGGACTTGTAAGGCCCGAAAATTGGCCTTTCAGCCGCGTAGAACCAAACATGGGCTGGTGAATTGTGCCGGACTTGCGCCCGGATTGCAAGCGATCAGAAAGAAGCCACTGGAAGGAGGGCACCAACTGTTGAGAAAGGGAGCTGGACGAAAGCCAAAGGATAACCACTCGTGTTGGGGTGCAAGAATGCAGAGGTACAAGGCTTTGGAATTCGTATTGTTGCTTAGGAGAAACATATCTGAAGTGCCGACCAGATATCATAACATGGGCGTCACATGAATTGTTTGTAAGGGTGAACAACCACAGGCCATTTGGGATAGGGTTGTGCCAGATGGTTTCCATTGGTGGTATTTCCACTATGGCACTATGGAGCACGGAGTGGAACTATTGGGATCCCCTCCAGTCTGACAGTCTGCACAACAACCATTGCTCTGGGGGTAACTTCACCATTCTTTCCAGGGTTTTTGTTTGTAGAAAACCATGAAGAACCCTGGGGAAATGGCTGGTTTTTCAACAGAACGATGGCTGAAAAGAATGGGGAATCAACCCCTAGAATTGCCGCTTCTGCAGATGGACGATCACACAGTGAGCTGTTCTCCAAGACAAGTTTGGCGTCTTTTCAGGTGGATGTGGTCTTGCTTCAGTTCGCGTTGGGCGCCTTTGCGCTTTTTCTGCGCTACTTCTCGAGGCAGTGCAGAAATTCGTCGTTGTCCAAACAATACAGGTTTTGACATGCTCGAGAAAAGCACAGGGTCCCCCAGTAGTGCCCTTTTGGGAGAGGGTTCCCCTACTATTATAGACGACAGAAAAAAGGGTACCCTTATTCTAACCTCTGTACTGGAGGACTTAGAGGAGGTTGTTTAGCCAATGCTGGTTTAAAGCTGCTCTGATCCGCAAATTAGTGAAGGCTCACCGAAGCGGCATGAAAGCAATGGGACAAGTCTCCAAGTTCCTTGGCCAATTCCGGAAACCTGCTGAATATTGACGCTGGGTTTTTGTTGAAGGCCAAGTGGTTCATCCATTCGTCATTGACTAAACCCTCAAACAGGACAGGGTCTCAGACAAAACTATTATGTATAATATATATATATACATATATATATATATATATGTATACGGTAGACTGAATACGCAACCAAATCTGACATGTTGATTTTCTATGTACCGCACAAATGTGTGCCAAGCAAACCTCAACACAAGGACCAAGCTGAAGACGATTGTTTTTTTTTTTCTCCTGGGGCTGAGGCTCGATACTCCTTGAAAGCTTTTGAACGTTACGTTGTTTTGATTTTTGGGTTGGGGCGGAGGGCTCTTTTGGGGCTTGTGTTAAGGGACATTCAATGGGTGCTGTCCCTTTTGAAGACTGCGGAAGTGTCAGGCACTGACTTTTTCCCGTTACATACGTATAGTTTACGGTTGCACCCTCTCCCTCTGGAAGCCATTACCGTTGTTTACGGGTTTGCTTCCTCAAAAGTTGGGCACACCCAACAAAAGCTAGGAGCAGCCCTGCATCACCAAGTTTGTTGTTAAATCCCAAGAAGCATTGACTTTGGGGTTCCCCTGGTAATAAGGAATCCCGGCACATCCATGCAACTCGTCCTGTTGCTTTCCCTGAACAGAAGTAATATTTTGTCCAGAAACCTTGAGTATTCAGCGCCAGACGTGGCTAAACCTTCACTTTTTTGTCTTACAGGTGCTCTTTTGATGAACTCACTTCCTGAGTTCTTTGGCTGCAATCTTTTTGGAAAAACCATTTTAGTGGCCAGCGACAAGTTTGGACTGTTGGGGGCCAATCCACTCAGGAAGTGAGTCAAGTAATGGCTAATCCAACTTTTCTTTGGCCTCCCGATGTTTCCAGACCAACTCGGGCTTTCTCCGAACCCTGGTTAAACCTGCCCACCGGTTCGCTCCCGTTTCGTGTCGACCGGCGAGTTTGTGCGCATCAGCGAAGGTTAACATCAACCCTCATCTACTGGTAGTACTATTGGGTTGGATCTTTCGACTTTAACTTCTTGGGAAATCATTTGGGGGTTTCCACTGAGCCACAAAACGTGAAGCACTTTTTGCAGAGGGGGCGTTGCAAGCAACGTGTAAAACAAGGAGATGAGACAACCAAAGTCTCAGCAAGCCATTCAGAACTGTGGTGATGCCCACTCCAAGCAGCCAATGTCTGGGGTCGCAATGGGTTTTTGAGCACGTATTTTCCATCATTTGAGTTTGGCCCGTGCTGCCATACTTCCATTAGCTGAAATGAATATTTGCGTTTGTTTTCCCTTGTTGGTTTTCAAGGGAATCTATCACTACTGGAAATATGTTTCTTTTTTTCCAGGGACTTAAGCAAATGGAAGCATAGATTTGCTCTTTTGGTCACTTGAACAATCTGCAAAGGGATGTCATGAGGCCTCAACAATTGTAATGGGGTGGGGCGCTGTTAGACCAAATTTTGTCACAATCATAGGGAAGAAGGTGTGTATTTCTTCAACTCCCCTAGATTCTGGGGTCTATCTACTTTAAGGTACACAAGTTGTGACATAAACGAAGCAACACATTTTTCAGTGTCCCCAGAGGGCTGGGAAAGCGTTGGGGGCGCAGGCCCTTTGTGGCCTGCTGCAGACGATGCGGCAGCTGTCTTTACAGCTGCCTGCGCCTTTGGCTGAAGGGCTGCTCGATCCATCGGTTTGTTTAGTTTGAGCCGGAAGACGAGAGGGGCCCATAGATCTGCTCACCGATCCGGGGGAACACGCCACCATGATAATTAGCCCATACATCTGCCTATTGCATAGCAAGCTCGCCGATCCGGGGGGAAAAACGAGCGAACAGCATGATAAAGGTCCTTTACTTGGGGCTTCGATCCTTATTTCAGCCTTTGGCATTATACTAAAAAATATGTAGAGATATTTTTGGCCTGCGGAAAATGGTCTGGTTACTTTTTCGGACAGAACACTCTTTTTGGGAGGTGGAAAGGGGAACCAAAGGGACATTTAGGTGTCCTACCTTGTTCATGGGCACGGACAAGGTTCAGGCGTATCTCTCAGGGGGTATGTTCCGCTCCGGCTGTTCTTGGGTTCGTCAAGTTCCTTCGGTTTCCTTCGTCTACTTGAAAAGGTTATCAAACTCAACAACATGCCCAATTGTCAGGGGTCGACTCTTCAGAGTACCTAGATTTGCACACATTCGAATGCCTACTCCCAAATACCGGAGGATGCCTCTCCAATTAAAAGCAGACTGCCTGGCAAAGATGAGTTTTATTGGTCGGGGGTCCCCAGTTTTGGGAGGGAACACCTTGTATTAATAGAGCAGGTTTATAGATCTGCGGACTATCATTCTGCAGTGTCTAATGGTGAAAGTACATTCCCCTTGTTCATACCCCTTGGCTTCCGTGGTTTCCAACCCACTTTATACGGGGTATATAAACCCCTTTTTGGGGAGAGGGGTATGAACATCAGCAGGCCTTTTGGGTCCATTTGTCCAAGGGGTATGTAAAAGGGGTCTGTACAAGCACCCCTGGACAGTGGAAAACAAACATCTGACTGGGAGGCCTTTATCATGAGGAAGGGCCTATGAGCTACCCCGCGCGAACTTATTCCGTGAAGATCCATTGCCCGCGGATTCTGTCCGGCTGTCCGGTTGGAGAATTGCCTGGAACTGGGGATGGACGAAATCCTGCACCACTCTGAAACCATGGTTGAACCAGTGAGTTCTAGCCGAGCGGTTACGATGTGTTTTTAGCTTGGCCGAACACCCAAGTACAATCATGGGGCGGGGGGAAGCAAGGGCTCAAGAGCTACGCTCCCTCCCCCAAAACCCCAAAACCCCTCCCCAGGCGCCATGATTTCTCCCGGCACGAGCCATGAGCCGCACCAAGCCGTGGCAAGTGAAGGCCAATGGGTTCCCTCCCAGCCAGATTTCGAAGGCGAACCGCCGACTGTGAGTGCCGCTTGACTCGTTGGGGTTGGGGGGGATCATGGTTGTTCAAGGTTGGGGTTTAGGGGAACGCTAGGGTTTTAGGCTCGTGTGATTTCAAGCAACACCCAATGTGATAAAATACTGCGTTGCCCAAAGCGAATTGACCTTTTGACCTTTGGATTTTCCAGTTTTCGTACCCATTTGTAGTGGCCCGAAGGGTGATCACCTTTCCGAACTGGGGCAACTGAGAATACTCATATCCCCTTCGGTCCCAAAGTGATGCCCAGGGCCTTTCTGGGACTGCGCCGGGCGGGTGGGGATTCCTGGGTTTGTCTCCGAAGAAGCACCCTGTAAAACAGGTGGTTCCTCTTTTGGCTTCTTCGACCGAAAGGTACCTGGACCCTCGACCCTTAAAGAAGGGGGGTCACCCGCCATGATTTTGCTTGGCAATACCACATCGCCTGGGCTAGTTCTGTCGGGCATAGGTGTCCTTTTTGGTTGATTTGGTTGAACAATAGAGGGCCCTGGTTTACCTGGTAGTTCAATCAACTACCAGGGCCATCTATTTTCCCAAAAAGGACACCTATGCTGTCAGGTCCATTTCGCCTCAAAACAACCAACCCCCATCGCTTTGGATGTGGAGCCCCAGGTGCTGCCTGTGCATGAGTCGTGCCAAAGATGCCGACGAGATCCAGCCAGCGCCAGGTGGGGCGAATGCACGGAGCTGTCCCTTTTATCGGTTGGTTTGGATAGAAATGGATGGGTTCCACTGGTTTCGGGTGTTTTTATGCCGCCGATACCAGGGCCATCTATGTTTCCACAAGGTCAGCTATGCTATCCTATGGTCATGAATGTTTGTGTGTACATATGATATATCGATACATACACAAATATATATATATATATATATGTGTGTATACACATATACACATATATAGTTTGTGGTTTGGGTTGTGCCCAAACGAGGGAAGCCTGACAGAATCATATACATATATGACATATTATGCACATAATAGCGGAAACACATGTATTGTTTGAGCATTGGCTAAAACAATTCTGAAGGATTTGTCCAGCTGTTGCTCAAAGGGTTTCAGATGGTTTTACTGAAGGGTAGCGTTTTGAGGGACCATTGTCTGAAGCGTGTGAATGCTGCTTTCTGGGCCCGACAGCTTTTGTTGGCGTACCTTTTATCCGACTTGCGGGACCCGACCATCCTAAGACCGCCACAAGGATTCTTCACCGTTGTTGGATCAAGTTTTCAGGCTTTTCTTGTTTTGAGTTCTGCTCATGTTTCTCTAAAGGGGAACCATCCAAAAAGTGGTTGGTGGGCGATGATCAGTTTTGGCCCGAAGTAGGGCCCAAGGCCAATCGTTGTTTGGGGTGGTTTCTACCTTTGTTATTCTCATGCACTTTCAGGGGGGGTGAGTTGATGATCTTTCTTCCTGAGTTCCTGGAGTTTGGTCGCTGTTTGTATTGTCTAGCAACAAGTTTGGACTTTGTTCGGCCAATGCACTCAAACAGTGAGTGATTGAGTATGACTTGCCGTTCGCCATTAACTCGCCATCAGTTTGCGGATCAAAGCGAAATGGTGTCAATCAACAGAGAATATCTCTATATATATATATAGACCCATATAGTGCCCATGAGTGGAACACATCCCACATTTCACGCACCAAATGTTTAAGCTTTTTTATGCCATTGATGTTTGCACCCCACACTCGGGACCTCTTTTGACAGCACAGCGTTCTACTTTCGTTAAGCTTTACAGAATATGGAACAAGCACAACACGTCATGTTCAGATGTTCAGGGCATTTAGGGGCTTCTCCCCCCCTGCCCCCCTCCCCACCCCCCCCCTCCTCCCCCCCTCCCCCCCCTCCCACCCCCCCCATGGCGACGCAAACCGAGCCCGCGCGCGTGGACCGCGCGTCGCGCGCGCTGTCTTTCGCTGCTTCAAGTCACCTGGCGCCGGCGCTGCGCTGTCGCACGCCACTATTCCAGCCAGCAACTGGGACGTGTGCGGCGACAAATGGGTGTGTGAGTGTTTGTTTGAGGAAAACCTTTTGCTTGTGCAGGGCTCCTTAAAAGATACATGTTGCCCATTTGAAACATGGCTTTTTCCACCAAAATAAAGGGAAGCCACCATTTACAAGGCAATGTTCAGGCGTATAATGTAAGGGTAATGTAAGGATCCCTGTCATTGTGGTTTCAAAGGAAAAATGAAACGTGTGTTTGTTTGGAGGAAAACTTGTTTGTTCGTGGTTTCAAAGGAAAAATGAGAACCACTATTTCGGGGGGGTTCCCTCCATGCCTCTACGCTTTTCAGGGGTACCGTCTCCTTTCGAGGCTGGTGCCCAAGCAGAAGGAAAGCCACAGGTGTGGGGTTCGCGTTGCATGGCCAAATTAGTACATTGTTTGTTTCCCCTATTTTCCCAAAAGGAGCCAAGGCTGAGATATGTTTTGCCGATTTTGCTTCGAAGAGTCTGATGCTGGCAGCAGGGCTACCGTCTTCAGTGAATCTCTCCGACATGATATAAATACGATACACATAGAGTTCTCCCAAACTTAGGCTTTGTCCATCCATGGCTGTGCCATGTAACTGTGTTTTGGCATCAGCTGTAAACGGGGCAGCGAAAAAGGGAGCCACACATTTTGAGTCTTGAGGGTCGCTTTGTCGCTTTTGAAGAGCTTGAGCCCCTCCTAGTGGCCAACCAACAAGAAAGGCGCCCTTGCTTTTGCACATCCTGCTTAGAACTGCTGTGGAAGAATGGGAGATGTCATCAGGACCCTTTCTGGCGATTGAAAGAAATGGAAGCTAAAAGGAGTCCCTTTTTCATTTTGGGGTTCCCTATGTTCAGAAGCGCCCTATGCATATGTCATGCAGGTGATCTTGGGTACCAACCCACCGAGCAGTTCGGAGACTTCACGAAATCAGCACCCAAGTTGCCAGCTTGTTTTCATGCTCATTCATATCAAACCAACAACCATAGCAAAAGCAATCAACACAGCAAATACAACAGAAGTGACGAGAACCCCCATAAGATGCAAACCACTCCAATGGACCCCGGATTTCTCCCGTCCAAGGTGAAGTGTGCAGAGCTTGCAGTGCCGATGCTCAGAAGCAGAGGGCGGGCAAGCGTCCTTTTGTGATGCAGCTGGCTGGGATTTCCGGGATGATCAAACGAGCGGGTGACCTAGTATTTAGGTTATTCTGCGTTATTTGGATATAATGTAGAGCTGTTTCAAGCTATTTAGAGGTTTTGGGATATTGCTTTTTTTGGGGATGTTTAGGTATGTAGTGGTTTCAATTCATTTAGATTGTATTTAGAACAGACTAGAAACTCCCCCTTCAATCGGGCTCCCCATTTCGCGACACGAAAGCAAAAAGAGGAAGAAGACAGTTGGTAGGGTGGTCTTATTCCAGGGCATCTTGGGAGCCTCTGAAATGGGTTGTTCTCCTTGTGATTTCCCTGTGCATCAACCCCGAAAAGGGTACCCTCACAAAAGACACAGCAATGGAGCAAGTTTGCTGTATTGGGAACTGGATGATCCTGACCCAAACTTCCGCACACAAAACGATTCACGAGTGTTGTGTCTTTTTGGGGTTTCATAGGTGTCCTTCTTAGACTATAATCGGATAGAGACAGATGGGTTCCACCATCTATTTATCCAAAAGGTCACTTGTGAGTGTCCTGCTGATCCTAGACTGTCGCACTGCATGCACGACCCAAAGGCGTCACTCAGTGTGCCGAAATACAGGACCCAAAGGCGTGTGGAAGGCTGGCATGCGGAAATTCGGCTCCATCCAGATCATGTCCTTTGCTACGAAGCACGGTGTGCAAGCCAAGCCCCGAATTTTCCAGAAGGAGTTTTTTTTCAGGGTCCGAGAAAACTGCGGATTCGAAGAGTTCTGAAAAAGTTTTCTGCTGGGTCTCTCAACGTGGTTACATGTGTTCCTTCCCCGATTTGTTTTTGGGGCTTGTGAAAATGGAAAAAAAACGCTATGAGCATGGGACGCATTCTTCAGGTGCCTTGCCCCCGGATTCTTTGGCACCGGAGCCGCTGTGTCGACCCGAAATGTGATCCAAGGCTTCTGAATATGGCTGTGGGTCAAAACCAATGGTACCATTTTGGGGTACACCCACTTTAGTCTATTTTCGTTGGGATTGCGATGTTCACTGGGGGTACAGGATTTTGACCCATGGTCATATATGATTTCACTTCCAGTGCTTCATCTCTATTAGTACAGGTCCCCCTAAGAATCAACATTTGGTTCTGCAAAGGGATCCTGAAATCTGGGACCACAACATACGTGGCCCACCTTTTTTAGGGACCCCCTGCCTCCCTACCCCGTGTGCTACAGCGAAATGCGATCGAGGGCCGTCCAGGGCTTCTTTACCGGTGGAGGCACAGACCCTGCAGAGGTGTACACAAAAGAGCTGGAGGACGAGTTTCTTGTCGAGTCAAAGAAGTCGAGTCGAGTCGTGTGAGTTTGAACAACACATTTGGGCCTTATCAACAGCCCTGATATTACAGGTCTTGGGCTCCTAGGATACTTTGATAACCCAGAAAAAGTCCAGAAAGGGGGAGTACCTTCTGACCTACCTGGACCCGCAAACTACGCTTAAACAAGGGGACATCGCTTCATAATTTCGGTTGGCAAGACCTTAAATTTCTTGGGCCATCACGCAAAAGCCTCAAAGTATATCAAAGTTGTTTCCCTTTGGCCTGCCGAGGGCTTCAGGATTGGCGACTTTGGCCTAGCCTACGCCCTCATTCTTTGAGGCCTTTGAGCGTCAAAGGCTCTCATACTTTGAGTCTTGGACTCCTAGGGGAAGCCTTCTAACTATGGGGTGGTTGGTTGCAACCCTCCTATCCCTCCTTTTTGTTAGCCTCCTATGTAGGCATGAAGTATCGGGGGGAACGGCTGCCGTTTTGCTGCTGTTGTTTATGAAGGACACGACTTTCTCTGAAACGCAGGACTGTTGGTGATTCTGTCATAGAATGTGTGGAACCCCTGGTATGAACCCCTAGTTTATTGAATACATGAACGTTCATTGTGGTTTTATTGGAAGCCAGCCTCGACAGGGGTCTGAAGTCATTTACGTGTATGATATTGCTGCGGATGGACAAAATCCTGCACCGCCGCTCAGAAACCTTGAGTTGATGATTCCCCTGCAAATACCAACAACCGTTTTGGTTTCAATTATGGTTTCAATCATGGTTTCATCTCGTGGTGTGAACGGATTTCGGAACCATAGTATATTTGTATAGATTCGCATAGTTCAGCCTTTGATGTTGGCCCAGGGCTGGTTGGTCCATTGAGTGGGGTGATGTATAAGAGCCATGTCGAGTCGTCTTTTTGTGGCTTTTGAAGGGCAACCAAAAGAAGAACCGTATTTTTGATGGGGGGGTAAACCTCACAAAAGGATACCCTCCAGCACCCCCCCAAGAACTGTCCAATTTCCCATGTCCAAAAACCCCTTACTGTCCAACAAGCTGTTGGGACCCGGGCGCTGGCCCCTTTCCCTTTCCCAGAATTAGCTTCCCTTTTAGATTATTCCTTTTTTGTGGTCGCCTTTGTTTGCAGGCAAAAAATAGCATCTTTTGCTGGGGTCCTATTTCCAGCACCCTGTCCGGAGGAGACTGCCTTCCGGTACCTGCCCTACCTGGCGCGTGCGAAGAGAGTGCTGATTGCCTCCCAGCG